TAACCCATGAAGAAAAAGAAAGAAAGAAAAAAGGATAAAACACATGAACATAGCCTACCAGACTTACGGGATACTATTAAGTGGGCAAATATTTGTATTATGAGCATTCCAGAAGGAGAAGAAAACCAAAAGGTATTAAAAACATATTTAATGAAATAATAGCTTAAAACCTCCCTGGTCTTGGGAAAGATACAAACATACAAATCCAGAAAGTTCAAATTTGAATCCCCAAATAGATTCAACCCCAAAATTTCCTCTCCAAGACACATTGTAGTCAAACTGTTAAATGTTAAAAACAAAGAGAATTCTAAAAACAGCAAGAGAAATGCATCAAGTCACTTATAAGGAATCCCCATTAGACTAGCAGCAGATTTCTTAGCAGAAACCATACAAGCCAGGAGAGAATGGGATGATATATTCAAAGTACTAAAATCAGTAATAAAAAGTCTCCAAACAAAGAAAAGCTCAGGAGGAGATGGATTTACAGCTGAATTCTAATACAAATACTTCTTAAACTATTTCAAAAAATTGAAGTGGACAGAATTCTTCCAAACTCATGCAATGATACCAGTATTACTCTAATACCAAAACCAGGCAAGGGCACAACAATGACAACAACAACAACAAAAAAAAAAAAAAAAAGAAAAGAAAAGAAAAGAAAGAAAGAAAACTATAAGCAAATATTGTTGATGAATATAGATGTAAAACTCTTCAATAAAACACTAGCAAACCAAATCCAACAGTATCAAAAGATTATACACCATTATCAAGTGGGATTTATCCCAGGGATGCAAGGATGGTTCAACATATGCAAATCAATAAATGTAATACATCACATCAGTAGAATGTAAGAAAAATAAAATGTGATCAATCATCTTGATAGATGCAGAAAAAACATTTGATAAAACTCAACATCCCTTCATGATAAAAACTTAACAAATTAGGTATAGAAGGAAAGTATCTTAATTTAACAGAGACCAAATATGAAAAATGCATAGCTAACATATTGAAGAACCAAAACAAGACAAGGATGCCCAATCTCACCACTTCTATTCAACATAGTACTGGGAGTCTTAGCCAGAGAAATTAGGCAAGAAAAAGAAATAAAGGGCATCTAAATTGGAAAAGAGGGTGTTAAATTGTCCCTGTTTGTAAATGACATGATTTTAAATAGAAAGAAATATAAAGATGCCATCAAGATCTCCTAGACCTGATAAACAAATTCGGTAAAGTTGCAGGATACAAAATTAACATACAAAAATCAGGGCCGACTGGGTAGCTCAGTTGGTTAGAGCACAGTGTTATAACTCTAAGGTCAAGGGTTCAGATCCCCACACAGGCCAGCTGCCAAAAAACAAAGAAAAAAAAGCAAAAAAATCAATAGCATTTCCATATACCAACAATGAACTAGCATAAAAAGAANATGCTCATGGTTTGGAAGAATCAATATTGTCAAAATGATCATATTACCCTAAGCAATCTACAAGCAGTCTACCCTTAGACTCAGTACAACCCCTACCAAACTATCATGACATAGTACAGAGAAAGAGAAAAACAATTCAATAATTTATATGGAATGACAAAAGATCCCAGTTAGCCAAAGCAATCCTGAGAACAAACAGCAAAGCAGGAGGTAACACACTCCTGGATTTCAAAATATACTACAAAGCTATAATAATCAAAACAACATGGTACTGGCACCAAAACGGACACATGGACCAATGGAACAGAATAGAGAATTCAGAAATAAATTCACATATCTACAGACAACTGATTTCTTTTTTCTAAACTTAAGTTCATTGTTTAATTGGCTAATTTCTTATTGAAACATAATTGATTATACATATTTGTGGGGTACAGAGTTGAATATCAATACCTGTCCAACCGATTTCAACAAAGGAGCCAAGAACAAACATTGGGGAAAGGATAGCCTCTTTGAGAAATGATGCTGGGGAAATTGGACAACTATATTCAGAAGAAAGAAAGAAAGTAGACCTATATCTCTCACTGTATACCAAAATCAACTCAAAATGGATTTAAGATTTAAATGTAAGACCCACAACTATAAAACTTCTAGAAGAAAACACAGGGGAAACACTTCAGGACATAGGACTGGGCAAAAATTTTAAGAATAAAAATTCTAGGGGCGGGCTGGTTAGCTCAGTTGGTTAGAGTACAACCTTGTAATACCCATGTCACAGATGTAGATCCCCAAACTGGCCAGCCACCAAAAAGAAAAAAGAAAAAACAAGTCTTCTAAAGCACAGGCAACAAAAGCAAAGGTAAACAAATAGGATTATATCAAACTAAAAAGCTTTTGCACAGCAAAGGAAACAACCAACAGAGGGAAGAGACAACCTGCAGAATGGGAGAAAATATTTGCAAACTATGCATCCGACAAGGGATTAATATCCAGAATAGACAAAGAACTAAAAAAACTCAATAATTAAAAAACAAATGATCTGATTGAAAATAGGCAAATCAGCTAAATAGACATTTCTCAAAAGAAGACATACAAATGGCCAACAGATATATGAAAAAATGCTCAACATCTCTAATCATCAGAGAAATGCAAATCAAAACCACCATGAAATATCGTCTCAGCCCAGTTAGAATGACTATTAGCAAAAAGACAGAAAATAACAAATTCTGGGAAGATGTGGAGAAAGGGAAACTCATACATCGTTGGTGGGAATGTGTATTAGTCCATTTCTGTTGCTTATAACAAAATACCTGGAACTGCGTAGTTTGTAGAGATACAATATTTATTGCTTACCATTTCAGAGGTTGGGAATGCCACAGTTCAGGGCTCACATCTGGTAAGGTGACTCTACAGCAATGCGGGGTGTCACATGGGGAGAATGGCAGAGCAGAGAGGGAGCTAACTCGTCACTCCTTCTCCTTTTAAACACTTTGACCACACGCATGACCATCATTAAACCATCAAAGGACTGATCCATTTACTTGGACATGGTCCTCACAGTCTAATAACCTTTTCAAGTACCCACCTTTCGATTACCATAATAGGATTTCTCACCCTCAACAGTTACAGTGTGGATTAAGTTTCTAATACATGGACTTTGGTGGTCACAATTCAATCCAAGGCAGAATGTAAATCAGTACAGCTATTACGGAAAACAGTATGAAGTTTTCTCAAACAACTACAGATAGAACTACCACACAATCCAGCAATCCCACCACTGAGTATACATCCAAAGGAAAGGAAATCATGTTGATGGGATACCTGCACTCCCACGTTTATCGTGGCTCTATTCGCAATAGCTAAGATTTGGAACCAACCTAAATGTCCATCAGTGGATGATTGGATAAAGAAAATGTGGTACATATACACAATGGAATACTACTCATCCATAAAAAAGCATAAAATTCTGCCATTTGCAGCAACATAGATGAGCTTGGAGAAAATTGTAAAGTGAAATAAGACAGACACAGAAATGGAAATACTACATGTTCTCACTCATATGTGGAAGCTAAAAGAGTTGACCTCATAGAAGTACAGAGTAGAATAGTGGCTACTAGAGACTAGTAAGGGGAGAGAGGGGAGGGAGAGGGTTGTCAATGGATACAAAATTGTAGAGAGATGGAAAGAATATAATCAAGTCTTCTATTAGCAATATAGGGAGACTACAGTCAACAACAAATTACTGTATAAATTCAAGTAGCTAGTTGAAAGGATGATGAATGTTCCCAAAACAAAGAAGTGACAAATGCTTGAGGTGATATATATATATATATGCTAAATACCCTGATAATATCATTGCACACTGCATAAATGTACCCAAATATCACATTGTACTCCACAAATATATACAATTAACATGGGTCAATTAAGGAAAAATAAATTAAAAAGAAAAAAATTAGTGAGAAGTTAATATTCCATTGCACAATGCTATTTGCTTAGGCTACAGAGTGCTGGTGAGGATCTAAAGCATCCAACAGAGGTCTAAACTTCAAGGATGTGACCCTGCAGTTGTGAATTAGAGTAATAATCCTNTGCTTGAGGTGATATATATATATATATGCTAAATACCCTGATAATATCATTGCACACTGCATAAATGTACCCAAATATCACATTGTACTCCACAAATATATACAATTAACATGGGTCAATTAAGGAAAAATAAATTAAAAAGAAAAAAATTAGTGAGAAGTTAATATTCCATTGCACAATGCTATTTGCTTAGGCTACAGAGTGCTGGTGAGGATCTAAAGCATCCAACAGAGGTCTAAACTTCAAGGATGTGACCCTGCAGTTGTGAATTAGAGTAATAATCCTAAGTCTTTTCAACTTTCCTCAGTAGTATCCTATTCGTTACTTCAGCTAAGCCTCAAAAATCTCTACTGGCTACTTTAGATATGGAATAATATAACAGATAAGAGCCTGGGCTTTGGAACTATGCTCCTGTGTTCAAATCTCAGCTGTGTTACTTTCTAGCTGTGTGACATTTGGCAATGTATTTAATCTTCTTGTGTTTTATTTTCTTTACCTGTATAAAGGAAATAATAATACTTGTCTCTACGATTATAAAAATTAAGATAATAAATACATATAAAGCACAGTGACTGTCGTATAGAAAGAGCTCAATAAAGTTAACTATTATTATTTAGGTACAATGAATATGATCAAACACATTTTACAGATATGGAAATCAAATCCCAGAGAAGTTAGGTAACTTTTCCAAAGCTACAGAAGGTTAATGATGTATTTAAACCTGAATGCAGTTTTCTCTGAGTCCTTTCCTAATGTTTCCATGGGCAAATTAATGTAAAAGTAGTTTTTTCTAGGTATCTCCCTTATACTAGGAGTGCTTGCTCACTCCAGTGACTTCACTGAAAGTGTGGATGGTGTAGACAGGTGACCACAGGCACTGCAGACTTTCCTAGTCTGTGGCCTATCAAGTCTCCTCACTTATTCCAATCAACTTGAGGAAAGCCCTCTTTACATCCTTGTTCCGGAGGCTGTAGACAATGGGGTTAAGAAAGGCAGAGATGACGTTGTAGAACAGGGCCAGCTTCTTGTCATCATCTGGGGAGGCTTCAGAGTCAGGCCTCATGTACATGACCATGCATGGAATGCAGAACACGGTGACCACAGTGACGTGGGAGGCACAGGTAGAGAATGCCTTGCTCCACCCTTGGGTGGAGTGAATCCTTAGAATAGCCATGAAGATACGAATATATGAGGCTAGGATGAGGGATAATGGGATCAGAAGTAAGATGAAACCCAAGATAAAGTCCACTTGGTCATTGAGGGACGTGTCTGCACAGGCCAACTTCAAGACAGCAGGAATTTCACAAAAGAAGTGGTTGATCTCATTGGGGCCACAGTAGGGCAGATTCATTGCAAAGACTGTGTAGACAAGAGCACAGGTGAGACCACAAAGGGCAGAGCTGACTGCTAGGAATACACACAGGGTTTGGCTCATCTGGACCCCATAGTGGAGTGGATAGCATATGGCAACATATCTGTCATAGGCCATGGCTACAAAAACCCAGGTCTCAGTGATGCCTAAGGTTAGGAAAATGTACATTTGGACCACACACCCAACGTAGGAGATGGTCTTATGCTTGCTTACCAGATGGACCAGCATCTGGGGCACCGTGGTGGTGGCATAGCTGAGATCCAGTAGAGAGAGGATGCTGAGGAAGAAGTACGTGGGCGTGTGGAGGCGTGCATCCACTCTGATCAGGGTAACAATGAGCCCATTGCCCAGGACTGTAAATAAGTAGAGGAAGAGGAAGAGGAAGAAAAGGATCCAGTTGGTTTTGGGGTTTCTAGAGAAGCCCAGGAGGATAAACTCAGTCACAGAGCTGTGGTTTCTCCAGCCTCGACTAAGCATGGCCTTCCATCTGAGAAAAGAAAAGGACATATTCCTGACTCCTTTGCAGTTTTAATGAGAGAATGGTGTGTGAGCTCCACAGATGCAGGGACCGAAGCCAAATTACCCACCTGAGCATCCAGAGAACGTTCTATCCAAATTGGCCTGGCATAGCTCTAGGCACTTAGTAGAAATTCTGTAAGTACATGTTGGATTGTCTAATTAACTAGTCCTTATAAAATTCCAAGGGCCCTGTGGTAGGAATTGCACAGAGCAGAAGTCTTATTTTGAAGAAAACACACACACACACACACACACACACCCATCCAAGTGGACGCTAGGAAAATACGAAATGTTTTACAATAAACCCAAGAGTTTTAGACTAATTCCCAAAGTCATTCTTTCAAATATCAAGACGAATATGTGCTTCAAGGTACAGTGTAAAGGTAAAACGAACAAAAAACCAGTTTCTTCTCTTTGCCTTCTTCCTCTCTGATGCTGTATTTTTGAAAACCCACACACAATAAATTTCCAGGAAAAAGGAGAATTTCAAACAAACTTTTTTGGGAGGATGAGAGAATCTCACCCCTAAAACCATTATCCTCTCACCTTCCCAGCATTACCTGCAGTGGTTACAAATATAAAGAACAAGTTGACACATGAAGATGGCCACAGAGACTGAAGAATTGAAACCTAGAGAAAACTTCTGTGCCCCTGGTATTTCCCAAAAAGATGAAACATATTTACCCAGAAATGAGGTACCTGTGTGTCTGGAGGCTTTTCTTAAAAACCAGTAAGGAATCCTCCACAGCCGTATTGTTCACAGGAACGAGTTGAGTGGTGGGTGGGGATGCATCTTCAGTTCGATCTGGACTCAATCCCCAACCCAGGTGGGCAGCCTGGACAACGGAGCATGTTTCTGACCAGTCCTCTTCTCTTTATCTTTTTGCTGGTCCTTAAATGACTACAACAGAACGCTGCCTGTTCCAGACCCCCAAAAAGGAAATGATCATTTATAAAATGGCACTGTATAAAATCTTTTAATAAATGTGACCTCATTAGATTATCACCACAACCCACTAAAGTCAGTATCACTATTTTCATTTTCGTGACATCAGCCACCCAAGATCAGGAAAGTAGTAAGTGATAGAGCCAGGACTCAAACTCCAAGTCCTATGCTCTTACCACCACATTAAGCTGACATGTGTTTCTCACACCATCAAATTTCATGCAGGGTTTAGCAGGGCACCAAACACAAAATAGGCCCACTTTAGGTGACATTGTGAGAGAAAACTGACTTTATTTACAGTTTTAGAGGACAGAAAGTTCATATTGCTCAGCATTACAAATTATCAGGTTTTTTCATAGAGAGCCACCAAAGCTTAGATCAGAATTTCAATATCTGAGACACCTCAAAGGAAAAGAAAAGGCTGATAGCTATAAACTGGGTTAAAATAACACCCCATGAATCTATGGACAGGACTTGGGCTCAGATGCATGAGGAAAATGATGTTAATGCTTATGTTAGATGCAACATGCTATTGTATGGAAGTTAGGAGGATCTGAATTTGAATCCTCTCTGTAAATTGTAGAAACAACCTAGGGTTTAAATGCTAATTACATGCTCATAAATTTGAAATACATTTCCATCCTGGATCTCTTTAAATTTATCTGTCCAACTGCCTACTTGATATCTATCTCCATTGGGATGTCTAATAGGCATGTTAAACTCAACATTTTCTAAAACCAAACTTCCAGTCTTCCCCCATAAACCTGCTCCTCTCACAATCTTCCTCAGCTCAGTTAATGGGCAATTCCATCCTTTGGAGTGTTTAAAATTTTTAAATAACCTTGAAGTGTTTCTAAATTTTCTCTTTCTCTCACACCCTATATACAACACATCAGCATATATTGTCAGTTCCCTTTCAAAGATATATCCCAAAAAAGATCACTTCTCATCATCTCCACCATTATCACTGTGGTCCAGACCCTCGCCTCTTCCCAGGAATATTGCAATGTCCTCTAACTAGTCCCATGGCTTCCACTCTCTCCCCCCACAGTAACTAGAGTGATCATATTAAATGTAGGCCAGATCATGTAAACATCTTATCAAAACCCTCCAGTGGCTGCTTGTATTACTCAGAGGAAAAGCCAAAGTTCTGATGAGGGCTTCGAGGTCCCTCATAACCCCCCTGGCCTCGCCTCCTGCCCCACACCTCTCGCTCTGTCTGCTGCAGGCATACAGACTAATGCTGCTCCTCACTAAAGGCATGCCCTGCCTCAGTGCTTCTGCATTCACTGTTCCCACTGCTGGAAATTCCTTCCCCAGATGTCTTCATGGTTCACGCCCTCACCTCCTCAAGTATTTGCTCAAATGTCATCTTCTTAGAGAAAACTTGTTTCTTTCTTGACCGTCCTGCTTAAAACAGCAGCATTCCACACTCCCTATCCCTGTCTCCTGCTTTATCTTTCTTCATAGCATTTAGCATCTTCTAATGTACTATATAATTTTTTAATTGTCAGTTTCCCTCACAAGAACACAAGAATTTTTACCTTCTTTATTTATTGTGTGTTACCAGATTCTAGAACAGTGCCTGGAATATAGTAGGTGTTTACAAGTGCTGGATAAACGAGCGAACTTGAGTCTAAGCTGGGCCCCTGAGGCACGGCCTGTGGTGTTGCTTATGTGGAACTGTCCTTGGTGCTGAACCCTGCTTTCTATGCAGCTAGCCATCATGCTGGCCTCATTCCGGGGCTTTGCCTTGGATTTACATAGCTCTTACTAGATTTCTAAACAGGGACACATTCAGGCCTCTTACATACGTTAACCATAGTCATCTCACGATGCCACAAAGTCAATAACCATATTAACTGCATCTTACAACCGAGGAAACCAAGATTTATCAGAGTTAAGCAAAGAGCCCAATGGCTGCCCAGAGTACTACTTTCAATTCTTGGACATGAAATTTAAAGGGAAAAATGGCGAACTAGTTTGTCTATCCAGAGAAGAGATCTTATCAATAAAGGGTCTGTGAAAACATGTTATTTAAAGAAGAGTGGAGAAGACTTAGAAAGTTGAGGTTGGAGACTTATGAAAACCTTGAGAGGTTTCATCAAATATTCCAAAGGTTGTCGTGCAGAAAAAGGTGGAAATGTGTATTGTATGTTTCCAGAAGGGAAGAATGAGAAATGATTTGTGAAATTTACAGGGGGACAAACCTTAAGCTCAATTTACCAAAAAAAAAAAAAAAAAAAAAGTACCTCTGGTGGTTCATGCTGCCCCATACTGGAACATTCTGCTCTGTTCTCTGGAGGATAGTGAAGTTGTAAGCTCTCTATTTTTAGAAGTGCTCAAGCATAAGGTATAAGACTATATCACTATCACTGCTTTGGATGTGAAGTTAGGTTGTATGATTTCAAAAGTCCCTTTTATCACAAACATCCCAATATTCTAAAAGTCAGTGACATCAAGTTTCAGAAAATCTATAATTTTAGGGGTGACTTCTCAGTATGTTCCCAACTTCATACTGAACCTAAAATCTAGAAGCTAGAGTCAAAACAAAGTAATATGGTAATAATGGGAAAGTGAGTGAGCCTGAAAAAAAATGGAAATGTGATATTGGTCAACTGTAATGTAAAATTTAAAAAGATAAAGTTTCTATTGTCTTATTTTTGCAGACACAGAGCTCTCTTGGGGGCTATGCTTGGTACCTAGGAAGGGTTACTCTTCTGCCCCTTGAGCAGACCCCACATCGGTTCCATCCTAGAAGAAAATAGAGCCTGAGAAAGGGGACAGGCTAGAGGCTAAAGGGAGAATACTGTTACAAACCCACTTTAAATCTATTGTGTTTTCCTGTTTAAAATTCTTTATTCTTGTCTCCTTTGAGAGAACGTTCTAAGAACCAAGTTAGGGAAATATGGACTACACAAGCAGCAGCTGTATTTAAATCACAGGAGCACTATACAAGATACAAGACAGAGTGGAGACCAGAAGCTTCTCAGAAGAATATTTTCACTAAAGGATAATGAAAGCTTCTTCCCTGATCTTTCTTGTTCTGATCACTTCCATCAAACCATCCTGTACACTGCCAGAGTGACCATTCAAAAAGCAGAGCAGACCATGCTATTTCCTGCTTCAAAGTCCTTGGAGAACTCTCACTGTGTATGAGCCAATGCCCAAACTCCTTAACACAGCACTCAGTGCCCTTCAGTATCTGATCCTTACCTATCTGGCATTTTAGCTTTGTTTCTTTTACTTTCACTCAATCTCTATGTTTTCATATGGCTTGGTAGGTAGGAATGGGTTTTCCATTTTAATATGGTTGAAAAAATAATTCATTTATGTCTATAGCTGCTTTTACCCTCCAAAAATAGTTGAGAAGTTGTAACAGAGACATACATGTTCCACAAAGCCTAAAATATTTACTATGTGGGTCTTTACAGAAAAAGTTTGCTGACTGCAGCTCATGACAAACCAACTCATTCACCATCCTTTGAATACTCCAGATAGTTTTACAAAGCCGTGGTCCAGGAGGCAGTATTATCAGGGAGGTGGTAGAGGCTCTGGGGTTAGATAAAGTTAGACTTGAGTCCAGCCCTGCCATTTACAAACAGCAAAAACTAGAGAAAGTCATTAACCCCACTAAACCTCCATTTCACCATCTGTAAAACTGGGAAAATAACACATACTTTGAAGATTTTCATGAAGATTAAATGATGTTTTAGATATATACAACACTATAGCAATAAATATCAGTTATTCCTACTAATAACATTATTAAGCCACTCCTCTAGTTGAAATGCCATTTTCTGTTTTCTCCTCTTGGTAAAATCCTAACCATGGAAGTCTTCTGTGATTCCCATCATACCTCTCCTTCCTCTGGGCTCTGGTGGCACCTTGAATGTACTTCTATTACTGCCCATACCTGCACTGGTACACACACTGGTCTGTGGAATTCCTTAAAGAGGGAGAACCATGTCTTACTCACCTTTCTAGCTCCAATTCTTAGCACGGGGTCTGG